TATTTTGGTCCGTGGGTTTCAAAAATCAATAAATTTGGTCCTAACTTTCACTACTGCACATCAATTTAGTCATTCCTCTAAAATTTCATCTATATTTTTCGTTTGTGTGCTAATGTGGTCCCACTAATCCAATCATATGGCTCCACTTGGATTAACTATAAGAATTTTTTTTTTAAAGTGAACCAACAAACAAGTATTCTCTACTGACATTTCTTGCATCCCAATTGAAAAAAAAAAAAAAAACCTCAATCTAAATTCGATAAAATCGAATCCGAATCCAATTCAAATTTGATAGGATAATAACCAATTGAGGTTCGAGTTCAAGAGGCCAAGTACTTTAGTAGTGTCATGTTGCCTTCCTTTTCTTTTTGAGATACTGTGATGAAGACGATGACGACTTTTTTTTGTTTCTTTTAGTTTTGGTTTAGTTCTTACTTTACTTTTAGTTTTAAATCTTAAAAAAAATAGTTTCTTATAGTTAATCTATGTGGTGCCATATTATTGGATTAGTGGTACAAAAAATATTGACGAAACTTCAACGGAAGGATTAAATTGACATGTGGTATTGAAAGTAAAGGACCAAATTTATTGATTTTTGAAACTCAGGGATAAAAATGAGCAGTTGGATCAATGTTAGGGACCATTTGCGATAAAAATCCGTATTCTGTGTAATCCATGTGTCGCCATTTCATTGGATTTGTAGGTTCCACATACAAACTAATAGAATAGTTAACGAAATCTTAACAAAATGACCAAATTGATGTGCGGCAGTGAATGTTAGGGACGACATTGATTGATTTTGAAAGTGAGGGACCAAAATGATGAGTTTGATCAATCTTAGGGACCATTTGTGATAAAAAACCTTTTCCTTCTATATTGGCCAATGATTTAGTGTTTTTAATGTGTATTTTAGATACGTGCACTTGAATTCATTCATATTTATTACTAGAAGAAAATGTACATCTATTTGTTTGGATGCCTTCCTATATGTTCTTGGTACGTGTTTGGTGCTTTTGATTAACCATATATTTCTTCTTGGTAAGTATTTGGCACATCACTTTATACTTGTTCTTGGTACATATTTAATATGTTACTTTATATGTCTTCTTGGTACGTATTTTGTACGCTCTTATTTTTTTGTATGTAATTGGTATGCTTAAATTTTTTTTCAAGAAAAAAAATCCAAGAACAAACTGAAAAATATCTTGAAGAACAAAATTTTGTATACTTTGATAACTCATATATTTCAACATTTATACCATCCATTCCTAGTCTCTTTGTGATATTTGAGTTAAACTGGTTGCGTTTTACTCTATTTTGTGTTAATGTGCAGTTAATTGTATTTTAGAGCCATTTGAGCGTAAATAAAGCAAAATGGTGCTGAAAGTGGAGAGTTGAATAAGGATTCTAATGTAGAGAGAGATTCAAAGTGTACAATTGAATATGGTGATGAATATGGCTCTTTATAAGACTAATAACAACAAAAAACGTTTGAAATAAATGCTCCATTACTGTGATGTCTTGGCATTCTATAATAGCCTCTTTAACCTTAAAACTGAGAGTTTCAGCCACTTTTACACAAGCTTCCCCTTGGGGACACCCATAGCTCTCTCTCTTCTCTTTCTTTGGCCTTTCTTCCAGAAACAAAATCCTTTCTCCATTCACCATCTGCAACCACCAAAGAAATCACGCAGCTGCGCTATTCTTGGAAAAGTTCAACATCATAATTGCTTCAATGGGGTTTCTTCTATGAACTTTAATTTCAGTCATGTTGTTCTTGATATTTATATATTCTGTAATCATGTTGTGTAATTAAGTTCATAGTTGGGGATTTCGATGTAGCATTGCAAAACTACTCTATGTTATTAAGTTAAAGTATTCAAATTACCAATCTATGTTCTTGTTTCATTCACTGATTTTATAGTATAATTTGTTTGTTAATATTAATGTTTGATCACCTACACATCATGCTTAATCTTGGTGGACATGTGAAAGAATGAAGAAACTGCTATGCATACATCCTGCCATGTGATTTCTTTGGTTCTTTGAAGTTTTCTTGTTCTTAATGAATTCTTAATTGGTAATCTAAGTTGAACATCACAACTAGGTTGCAGATTAGGAGTACTTGATCACAACTACATATCAAATAAATGATCATAAATAAGTAAAACGAACCCTAGTTGCAGATTGGAGAGTTGAATGCGTTTTGACTTAAATTTCACGGAGTTGGCTTGTAATAGTGAAATCGGTATCCCTAGTTCCGTTCGCATCGTTTTTGAATTAATCTATCATTCATCTTTATCTTGTCTTGCATTTTCAGTTACTTTAACTTCCAAAACAAAAATCTAAATTCAGTTTTCATTTTCATTGTTAGTGAGGGTTCACATAAAGCTAGTAATTTGTAGAGTTCTAATCAGTCCATGTGGTTCAACACCCTTACTTGCGCCATTATACTATCCTTATATTTGCACTTGAAATGAACACAACATACTCAACTCATGAAATTAATATACATCTAAGAACAAACTCTGATATATTGAATTTTCTGCTGCAAACATTCATTCACCAAAATTTAAGTGTCTACAAAGACCCCCACTTTAAGGCACCGCGTATACATGTGCTTGTCATGTGTAGAAAGTGTGTTTTGAAGTCCCTCGACATTGTGAATGTACTTTGACCACTATGCTTTGAAGTCCTTTTGCATAGGACTTGATTCGAGGGTGATGAATACTTGATTTTGAGTTAGGCTGGAAGCTTTCTTAAGGGCCATCGAGGTTTAATCCTGAACGAAACAAGACCACGAGTTGCTTCACGTGGTGGTTAAGCTTCGGCTTTGGTGGTGGATGAATCGACACGTTTTTATTGTGCATGTTGATTCTTCACGAGCTTGATGAAGAACACAATTGTTTGGTGTTTGCTTTGCCAAAGAGCTTTCTGGTTTTCTCCAAAGTTTTGGACTACTTCCCTTATCTGAACTCGATTTTGATTTAAGAGTGGTGAACACTGTCTTGAACCGGGCTTGTGTGTGGATGGATCGGCATGAGTGTAAGCCTGAAACCTAGTTCGTGAATTTGTGATTTGAGGTATCGTTTGGTACGTGGGACGGGACGGAACGGAGTAGGACAAGGCGTTCCGTCCCACGTTTGGTGTGCCTAAAACGGGTGGAACAAGCTGTTCCATGAGACGAGTTTTGGGTAAATTTTCGTTCCAACTCACCCCCTGGAATTCCGTGGAACACAAAATTATAACCTCTCCGTCTCCTTCATCTTCCTCCTTGTTTCCATCCGAGGGCATCTTTGCTCTTGCTCTGTCCCATCCCGTCTGCATACCAAACGATACCTGAAGTCACCCTCAAAGTAAGAGATTTTGTGCTTACTTAGGGTACCACCATTAATGTGAAATGAATGGAGGGGCATACTAGGGTCAACTGAGATGGATAATTACGGCGGTTGGCCACCACCTAATCTCTTTCTCGATTTTCCTCCCATCCATGGCTTAATCCTGATGGTTGCCCACTGTCTAGTCGATTTTAGAACACTAGCTTGTAGTGGTAGGTGATGGCAATCACTTTGTTCTCCAAGGGATAAAATTTGTGTAAGAGGATAATAATGTCATTTTAAAAAAAACTAATGAGGACATTATAGGAAATGATGATATTCTTTAAAGGCTCAACTCTACTTTTTATCAAATCAGCTTTAAAAGTAACCGGTAAGAGCTGTTGTCTAGATGTCATTGCTTTTAAAATAAGTAGGATATTTTATTTTTACCAAACATTATTTTATTGCTAACATTTAAATGAAACAACTTTTGATGAAAAATTGTGACATCCCACATCGCCCAGGGGAGTGATCCTTATATGTATATTCTCATCCCTACCTAGCACGAGGCCTTTTGGGAGCTCACTGGCTTCGCGTTCCGTAGGAACTCCGAAGTTAAGCGAGAAGAGGGTTAGAGCAATCCCATGATGGGTGACCCACTGGGAAGTTGCTCGTGAGTTCCCAAAAACAAAACCGTGAGGGAATGGTAAGCCCAAAACGGACAATATCGTGCTACGGTGGTGGAGCGGACCCGGGAAGTGGTTCCGCCCCGGGTCGGGATGTGACAAAAAAAGTAATACCAAACGGGACCTAAAATTGGCAAATTAAAAAAATTTAGACATGAAATTAGGAATTTTTGAAATGTTTGTATGCATTTGAATCCATTTTTTTTTTTTTCAAAAGTTTTCGTTGAAATATCTTTAATGACGTTATTAAAATTTTCGTTGCAACTTGCATTTTTAGTCAACGGTCAATAAAGTTGGTCAAAGAATATAAGTAGACCAAGTTTTTAGACTAAATTTAAAATCATGTGATGTGACATTAATAGAAAATAAACACGTTAATCAGAATTTAAGTGATAATCTAATCATCAACAATCACGCCATCTAGTTTACAAAATATAATTTAGATAAATGATCTCTCTCGCATTAGCCTTGACAAAATAAACATGATAAAACATTTGCTACCTGCAAGGGCATTACATTGAAAGTAAAAAAATGATAAGAGAGAGAATAATTAAAACCCGCAAAATCCGATGTAACTAAAAAACTAAAAAACAGATTTATGTGATGCTTAGTGTCGTGATTAGCATTGAAAACTACTTAACACACAGTTGTAAGAATAAAAAAGCTAATAAATAATCTGAAAATTTGGTAAATTAATAATTTTGAAATGCCACATAAGGGCAGACACCAGCGATATTGACAGAGAGGAAATGTGGCCTGACCCGCTTCTTACACGGGAGTAAGATTTTCTCCTTTCCTATTCTCATTTCTTTTGCTCCTCTTTTTTCACACTTTCTTTTGTCATTTTGTCACTATAAAAGAAATCAACATAACACATTGTTTAATTGCAATGTTCCAGTTGGATGGGAGAAAGGAGACGACAGATTACGAGAGGATTCTTACATGACCTTTTTGGGTATAAAATGCAATAGAGGACAAAAACGCAAAAGCCCACACACTGACACACACACACACCTATAAAAACCCCAAACCCCAACCCTCCGTAAACTTTGCTTTTTTCTCTTCTCCTTCTCCACCTCCCCTTCTCTCACTAGGATTGATCTGCAACTCTTCCGGAGGAAGGTACGTACGCACAGCCACTCACTAATGTATGTATACATTTGAGTGCGTGTTTGGATTTGTGTGTCTCTCTGTTAACTTATATGTGTGTTAGTGATTCTTGAAACGGTGGTCGGTGGAACTGAGAATTATTTGAGGAATTGAATTGGGGACTATAATTTCTTGGGGAGAATTAGAATTTAGAACCCTAATTTTGGTAGTGTTGTTTTGTTTTGGTGGTAATTAGTTGATTGGGGAGGGGACGACAACCATGGCGGCAAGAAGAGAGCTCGTTTATCTAATTCTTCAGTATTTGGAGGAAGACAAATACATGGAGACTGTTCACAGGTCAGTGATCTTCTTCTTTAGCTTCTTCATTTTCAATTTTTGTACATAGGATTGTTTATTTGTTCGTTGGTGGTCGGGTTTTGGCTTTGCTTGGTTGCCAAGAAAATTGAGAAAATTTAAAGGGGATTAGAAAAGAAGGTTTTTGAACCTTTTCTTTTTGTTACTTTGGAAAATCAAAGAAAATAGAACTTGAATTGTTTGGTTTGTACTGAATGAGGTGCTTTTGGTTGTGTGTGAATGAAGGTTGGAGAAAGAGTCCGGGTTTTTCTTCAATATGAAGTATCTTGAGGAAATTGTGACAAATGGTGATTGGGAGGAGGTGGAGAACTACTTGTCAGGATTTACTAAGGTTGAGGACAATAGACACTCATTGAAGATTTTCTTTGAGATTCGGAAACAAAGATACCTTGAGGCTCTTGACAGGTAAGCTCTTTTTGTTTTTTTTTTTTTTTTTTCTTTTTTTTTTTATCTTTGGATGCAGTACTTGTATAGACTGAAGCGTCTTAGTAATAACGTTGTCTTTAATGCAGTCATGATAATGATAAAGCTGTTGAGATTCTTCAGAAGGATTTGAAAGCATTCTCGTCTATCAATCCAGAGATTTTCAAGGAAATAACGATGCTTCTAACATTGGAGAATTTCAGGTGATTTGAGTATTTTTTTTTTTTGTGTGATTAATTTGGTGTTTGGCATCCAATTAATGTTCATTGTTAAATACATGCTCTTGTAATTCATGATTGATTTGGTTTGTGGCGCCAATGTGGCAATTGCTTGTTACTGAATATGAGCCATGGGCAATCAAGGAGTGTTGAAAGTTAATTTCGTACTTTGGAGTACAATGCGACAGGTTTACACATTCATAATATGTTTGTTGGATTGTTATAGATGGATTAATTTTGTAACAATTTTCTTCGTATTTTTTAGAAAGTGGGGCTATTGTGTAGTGTTTGACTTTGCAAAAAAAAAAATGAGGTCCTGACGGGAAGTATCTTTCGTACTCTTAAATTTCATCATTTGCAAATTGTAATCTGTTTCCTTAAAAATATGACATTCACTCCTATTTGTACCTTGAATTTTTTCATTCACAGCATGCGCACTCCTATTATCAAGAAATAATTGTACTTGAATCATTGAAATTGACTGTTAAAAGATAATTGAGAATCAGTGATTTCAGTTACAGATTGCCAAATCTAGGTTACTGACCTGAGACAGTTGGCAATAAGGTTCTGAAGTTGTGAATGTAGTAGTTTAAGTTGTCTGTTTATCTCAATGTGCTGTATGTGCCAAATTTAAATTGCTAGACACCGTAGAGCAACAAGTGTGTAGAACAATGAAGAAAACAACCAGTGCCATGGACTCCTTTGAAGTATGCTTGCTCTAAAAGTTCTCTTTTGTGTTTGTTTGCCTAGTTGTTTGTCCAATGGGTATTTTATATATTTTCTTGTTTTTCACAGTAGCCTCATTGTTTTTAAACGCAGGGAGAATGAGCAACTATCAAGCTATGGTGATGCTAAGACTGGCAGGGCTATAATGCTTGCAGAACTGAAAAAGGTAATTGAGGCAAATCCAATTTTCCATGATAAGCTTGAATTCCCCAAATTTAAGAAGTCAAGGCTGAGGACATTGATCAATCAGAGGTAATTTGAACAATATTTATCTATCTTTGCTATTTCTTTAATTAATGCATGGAATGTGATTTCTTTTTCTTCTGTTTTTTTGTTTTTTTTTGTTTTTATATTGTTTTTTGTTATGCTTGTCGCAGTTTAAACTGGCAGCACCATCTTTGCAATAATCCTAGGCAAAACCCTGACATAAAAACTCTATTTTGGGACCATAGTTGTGGACCAGGTGCTTGTGCTACTTCCCCTGCAATTAACCCTTTAATGGGATCCATTCCAAAAGTAGGTGGCTTTCTACCAATAGGTGCTCATGGTGTAAGTTTGTAAACATATTATATCTTTGGTTTTGGAAGTAGGTTTTGTAGGAATTCTTACTCGTATGTTTATCTAACATACTGTGATTTCGGCCTTTTCAGCCTGCAGCACCTCCTTTGGCATCTCTGCCTGGCTGGATGGCTAACCCATCCTTGGCTCCACACCAAACAGTTTCTTCTGGGCCAATCAGTTTAACAGTTCCCAATAATACATGTATGATTGCATTTGATTTTCTTATTTCCGTATAATATTCTATGTTTGTGGCTTAATTACTGATATTGCTGTATCACAAGGAGACATTACAAATTATGGATGTAATATGATTAATTAAAAGAACCAGTTTTGCAGTGGTAAATAAGACAAAATGGAAGGGAGTATTCTATATGCTTTTGTTTTTATTTCCCTTTGTGTCACCTTTTTAACCGAAGGAATTCCAAATGAATAAAAACATTTACAAACTACAGTTTACATCTACACAAGCAATATAGTATTTGACATTGAAGATAATTAAGAATTTTTTTTGTATACTTATTGAAGGAATGATTGGCATGAATTGCAGACAATTCGATATTTACATTGTATTTTTGTTAGAACAAGGCAACAAGTAGGCATGACTTTGCAAATGTCAAACATATACAGTTTTCTCTTAACTTAGTAAATGGAAACCATAATGATTTGGCAACACTAGATGGAGTTTACTTAATATGGCCTCACTAGAAATTCAAGCTCTTCTTGATGATAAAAAAAACACCATTAATAGTGACTCTGTGGGATCCAATGTTTTAAAAGGCAAAGCCAAGGCATTTCTTGGACAGCCTTGCCTAGGTGATAGCCTCACAGTGCCTAAAATTATTATAATACTTAATGTTATATATAATAATTGTAAAATAATCAAGCAAGCATGCCAAGCAATCAAATATTTGAACTATTATTATTTCTGAAACTCAAATCATAAAGTCATAATAACCTAATAGAAACTAAGTCAGAAACACAAAATTAGCATGAATTTTATAAAAACCCTGCCCAAAACAAGGTTGTATTGGGTTTGGGCTGTTTTTTATCAAAAAAATTCAAATGCCCAGGTTGCCTAGGCGCCTGAGGCGATAGCCTAGGCATTTAGGCTAGTCTCTAGTCCACTCCCATTGGGCAGAGACATTTTTTCATAACCCCACCCCATAAACTGCCTATGCAAGTCTTAAAACTAGTTTTTTAAAACACTTGGGATCTGAATTAAATTGTTTTGATTCTGTCTGTTAAATGCTTACAGTACCCGTTTGTAAACGTATTAGAAGTCATGGGGGAACACATGAAGGACTCAAAACTCTATATGGCATTCTGTTGGTCTTGGTTGTAGTGTTGCTGAACTAACAACCAGCGCATGAGGATGGGTGAAAACCGTAGGAAGTAAGATTGACGCAGAGAGGTTTTCCAACAAACAATCTTCTAAGTGGAATTCATGGGTTAAGAGTGAAACTGATTGGTGGCCCATATTTGGCTTAGTTTTGTTGGTGACATTTAGTAACCTTGAAATTTACTTGGGATTTGTTGATTATTTCAGTGTTGAGATAGTTGTACAGCCTATTACTGCCATTCATATTGCTTTTTCTGTTGGTTGAATTTCTTTAAGAGGAAGAAGAGGAATAGGAAGACCAATTTTGTATGGGTGGAGAATCTGGAGATAATTAAGAAAGATATGATAGTGACTTGTATAAAAATATGGCCATGATAAGTCGGAAAATGGAGGATCGTGATTGATGTAGTCACCCCAAATGGTTGGAAAAGGCCTTGTTCTTGGTAGTTGAAATTCTTTAAGAGGATTATATGATGTTCATTATGCGTGTTTGCCTGACTTATATTTTAGCCTGTAAGAAGTTTCTTTTACATGTTAATTACTGAATACTAAATAGTGCTTGCATGAATTACACTCATGAGATACATGCCAATCATTCTTGTTTTGTCTTGTTTCTGAATCGGAACTTACATCACATCGTTTGGTTTTGTTTATTTAAATTCATCCAAATTTCACTTCTCCAACTAAGTTTTACTATTCTTTTTGCATTTATTTGATATGGTAGCATCTTTGTTAAAGCGCCCAAGGACTCCTCCTAATAACCCGGCAATGGACTATCAAACTGCAGATTCTGGACATGTGTCCAAGAGATCAAGAGCATTGGGAACATCAGATGAGGTATTTTATCAGCATGTTTATGTGCTTATAATTCTTATACTTTACACAAAATTTCGGTTAGTCTATAGCACATTATGATTAATTTGGTAGTCTCTTTTAATTTTTTTGTTTTTTTTTTTCTTTTGCGAGAATATTGTTGTCTTACTGTTTGATTTGTTTTTTTCTTTCTTTCCACACTTATTCTTACTGAAATAAGATTCTGGAACTAGCTTAACTGTGACCGTGCCTTTTCTCTGTGCAGTATAGTTGGTGATACTTAAAATTGTTGCTATGTCCTTTGCGCCTTAACTGTTTTACTATATTTTTGTTACACCTTTTTGAACCAAATAATCTGGCTTTCTCCAAACCTGACCTCCCTTTGCCTTTGCAGGTCAATAATAGGCCTCTTAACGTCTTTCCACACACATATCCTGGCCACATCCATGCCCACCACCCTTACTCTTCTGAGGACTTGCCAAAGACTGTTGTTGTCAATTTGACTCTAGGTTCAGCTGCCAAGAGCTTGGAATTTCATCCCCTGCAACACACTCTGCTTCTTGGTTTGCTCTTGCTGCTTAACGAATTTATTCTCTTTGATCTGATCCTTTTCAGTCAATGTCTAATTGTTGTATGGTTTTGTATTTAAATTTTATTATCTGTTCTACCTTTCAGTTGGAACAAATATTGGTGACATAACGATTTGGGAAGTAGGCAGAAGGGAGAGGCTTGTTTCTCGGAATTTCAAAATTTGGGATCTTTCTGTGTGTTCAATGGCTTTACAGGTGTAATTCGCTTGTTTTTTTTTTTTTTTTTTGTTCTTTTCCCACTCTTTATTGGTACAAAACTTCTTAATGGTTCTAAGGTCTAACCATAAGACTAATATGATGCTGGTTTTCATGTCTTTGTGATAGGCGTCTTTGGCAAATGAATACACTGCATCAGTAAATCGTGTGATTTGGAGTCCTGATGGTTCCCACATTGGCATGTCTTCTCATTACCATTTTATTTTTCATATTGACAGTATACTTGTGCATATTTTCTATTCATGAGAAAATAACTTTCTGTTTTTGGTCATGGGTAAAATTTTTCTTAATGAATTAGTCGAAAATGGTTGAAGTTCACTGATCAGGTTAATACAAATAGTTTTTGTTTCTTATTCCCCAACTTCTGTTTCAGGTATTGCATATTCGAAGCATGTAGTGCACATTTATTCCTATCATGGTGGTGATGATTTACGGAACCACCTAGAGGTTGTAATTCTCTTTTTTTCTTTTTAGTTTGTAGTGACTCGTCAATTCCGAATTGATGGCTGCTAGGTTTCTTCCCATTGTACGGCTATCAGTTTTTTGTTAAGACTGTAATTACTTATGTGCTCATTTGATTTTCCTTTTAATTGCAATTCTTCCAGATTGATGCTCATGCTGGTAATGTTAGTGATCTTGCTTTCACTCACCTAAACAAACAATTATGCATCATAAGTTGCGGAGAGGACAAGACTACTAAGGTTTGGTTTATAGTGCTTTTTCCTTCACTGCTATTGGTAAGGCTAGGCCCTGCAGTCATCAAGGTTCCTTTCTATGCAGGTCTGGGATGCTGTCACTGGCAATAAACTGTATAACTTTGAAGGTCATGAAGCACCAGTTTATTCTGTGTGTGCACACATAAAGGACAACGTTCAGGTGCTTATTATTAGTTATGAGCACTGCTTTTACTCGTGGAAGTTATCGCTTTTAATTTGCTTTATTTTACCTTTATAATTAGAAGTATCAAAAACTTAGTTTTATTGAGCAAGTCTTGTTTTTAAGGTAAATGGTACTTATTTGGTTAACCTTACTGTTACTCAAGGTTGGAGGGAAACTTGTATGTGTAGGGAAATTTTTAAAGCAAGTAAATCATTTTTGTGGTTTCTATAAACTGTCTGTTCTCATATCTTTGTTCCATACCAAAAAAAGATCTTTTAATGAACATATTCTTGATGCTTATTACATTCATTACTGTACCATTATAGTGTCTTTTTCATACTGTTGTTGACAGTTCGGAAACTGTTATTTACCCTAACATAACTGTTGTTATCTTTTTATTTTAGTAAATACTCAGTGAATGTTATTTTATTTTATTTTTTTTTTCTGCATCAGTTCATCTTCGCAACAGCCATTGATGGGAAAATTAAGGCTTGGCTGTATGATAACGTTGGTTGTAGAGTTGATTACCATGCTCCAGGCCATTCTTGCACAAGAATGGTGTATAGTACTGATGGTACAAGGTAATTTATCATTTTTGTTTTTTTCATCAAGTGTTTGAATTCTCTTATCTTTTAAATTCTTCAACTTGAGTACTTTATTTCTTAATTATTCCCATTATTTATTTTTATCATAGGCTCTTCTCCTGTGGGACTAATAAGGAAGGGGAATCATACATTGTGGAATGGAATGAAAACGAGGGGACTGTAAAGCGAACATATAATGGGCTTGGGAAGCAAGCTCATGGCGTTGTGCAGTTTGACACGACGAAGAACCGATTCTTGGCTGCTGGTGATGAGTTCCAAATCAAATATTGGGACATGGACAATGTGAACCTTTTGAATGCCACTGATGCAGAGGGTGGATTACTGGTAATGGCCACATACGCTATCTTCATGTGTTGCTGTCATATTTCAAGGTTATTGTTAATGTTGAAACAACACTTACCTTTAACATCTGTTAGGCTTCTCCTTGTCTACGATTTAACAAGGAAGGAACTATGCTAGCTGTTTCAACAAGTGAGAATGGTGTTAAAGTACTTGCAAATGCCGATGGCATTCGAATTTTACGTGCAATTGAGAATTGTGCAGTTGATGCCTCCCGGATGGCCTCAGGAACTGCAACGGTGGTATGCTGTTCTATCAGATTTATTAAGTGACAAAAAATGTGACACCCTTAAAATGAATAGCCTATCCTGCAGGGACCCATAATTGGAACATCTGGTGGTTCCAGTTCTGCTCATGGAACAAACAACGCGGTTGCAGTTAGAAGTCTGGTAAAGTTTGATTGCTCTTTCATGTGTGTAACTGAGATATAAGTTGTTAAGATAGAACAATTTGTCCTTTTGAAAAGCTGCATTCTTTTAATTATTCAAAGAGCACTGTTGTTAGTTGTTACAGGACATTCTTCACATACCTGAATGTTTTGAGCATTTTTTAGATTCTAATATGGGCTAAACTTTAATCCTTTTTGGAAGTTTGCAAATATTGACTTCTTAACATTTTTAGAACGGAGATGGCCGGAGTTTTGCAAACATCAAAGTAAGGGTTGCTGAGGAGCTAGAGAAACCAAAAACTTGGAAGCTAACTGAAGTTAATGAACCATCTCTTCTTCGCTTCATATGGCTGCCTGATAGCCTGTTGGTAAATAGAGTGAGTATCATTTGATAACCAAGCTTTCATGATGGACTCAATTCCTTTGAAGTATGGTAGGTCGGTAATTGTCTGATGGGTATGCAAGTTTAAGTGCATTGGTAAGACTAACTTTTGGCTGTAGAATACTCATCTGTGTAGCTAAGGTATGCAAGTTTAAGTGCGGTAAGAGTAACTTTTGGTTGTAGAACACTCATCTGTGTGGCTATTCTAAACATGGAATCACAAGTTGTGGTTTCCTGTAGGGCTGCCACCTGGTTGTTTAGTACTTACTGTCATAGAATTTGTAAAGCATGCCCTATAAGTTGTATTAATTCGCTTCTTTTTGAATGTTCTGCATGATACAGCATGTTCTTTTTTATTTTATTTTGGGCAAAACATACAAATTCGAGTTTAAATTTAATTAGATTTGAAAATTTTCGAACCATAGCCCTCAAAGAAAATTAGCAGCTTACGATTTTCGGGTCATGGTAACTCTGTAATGATTAAATGGTGTTATATTGGATTGATGTGTATCTATTTTACCCTTTTTACCCTTTTGATTATCATGATCTAAAATATCGTATCCAGCCCCCTTTTATGCTTTGAACTTTTTCCCTGAGAAGTAAAGAAATTATGGACCCATACACTTCCATTCATATCCCTGTAAATTCTATTTGTGTTGTAGTACTTAAAAATCATCTCTAGACGGGTTTCAACATCAGCCTAGGCACTAAGGCTTCTTTGTGTTTTGAGAATGTCATTATTGCAAAACATGTATATTGTACATTAAGACTGGCGAGATGGAATAATGTGGTACTTGTTTTATGTTTTTGTAACCCATCTTTAAATGGTTTTGTTCTCCATTTCAGATTGTTCGGTTAGTATATGCAAATTCAGGAGCATCTATGTTGGCATTGACGAATACTGGGGTACATAAACTTTGGAAATGGCAGAAGGATGAGAAGAATGTTTCGGGCAAAGTACGGTTTGTTTTTAAGGCAGCATTTCAATCAGTCGCTTTGTCCTTTGAACATTTCTCTATAATCTTTTCTGGTATAAAATGCTTTTGTTTTTGTAGGCAACTACCACTGTGCCACCACTGTTATGGCAACCTGCCAGTGGTATAGTGATGACCAATCAAGTACCCGAGACAACTCTTGAAGATCCTATCCATTGCCTTGCTATTTCAAAGAATGATTCTTATGCACTATCGGCATCTGGAGGGAAGGTTTCGCTTTATAATATGATGAACTATAAGGTAACGGTGTATTTGGATTGTTAATTAGGTGCAATTAGTTGGAATGCATATTGTAATCATTCGCCTGATCATTTTGCATCATGTTTTCAATTTATTAACTCCCATGTTTTCATCCTAAAATTGCAGACGATGATGACCTTTATTGCCTCACCACCTGCAGCAACATTTCTTGCCTTCCATCCGCAGGACAACAACATTATTGCAGTGGGCATGGATGATTCTACAATTCAAATCTACAATGTCCGAATTGACGAGGTACTGAGGGTGAACCGAGACTTGTTAGTACATTCAGTGTTCAGATAGTAATTTTGTTTCTATTGTTGCACAGGTCAAGAACAAGCTCAAAGGTCATCAAAGGAGAGTTACTGGCCTAGCATTTTCCAATGTTCTAAATATTCTTGTATCCGCAGGAGCTGATTCTCAGGTATGCTTATACCACTACGATAGGAGGAACGTGCCTTACCTCTGCGTGCGCGTGTGTAGGCAATAAAATTTATAACTTTAAGGGGTGTGATATCCACACACCCCTTTTTACTTCTCATACACCCTTCTAATTTTGTGCCATCGGATTGGATGAATTGAAGAAGATCAAAGGACAGAATTTAACAAGAGGTGTGTGAGAAGTAAAAAGGGGTGTGTGGATAGCACATCCCAACTTTAATATGGCAGGTTGCGCTGGAAAGTGTCATTTTCATGTTTTTTTCTTTGGTTGTGTACAGTTCAACTTGTTGGGGTGGAGTCACATGAACTATTTTATTTTTCCTACTTCAGCTGTGTGCATGGAGCATTGACGGATGGAGAAACCAGGCTGCTAAGTTCTTGCAGATTCCAACTGGTCGCGTGCCTACACCTAATGCTCAGACCCGTGTTCAGTTTCACCAAGATCAGATACATGTGTTAGCTGCTCATGAAACTCAAATAGCCATATATGAAGCACCGAAGTTGGAGTGCCTTAAACAGGTCTCTTGGGCTTTCTTTTCTGTATTAATTAGCTGGAGCTTGGTTTGTAGCAGTTGTTTATGAAGTGACTAATTTGTTCATTTTTTTGGCTGCGACAGTGGGTGCCACAAGAATCGATTGGTCCTCTCACAGATGCTACCTATTCATGTGATAGCCAGTCAATTTATGCAAGCTTTGAGGATGGAAGTGTATGCATTCTAACTGCCTCTACACTCCGAATCAGATGTCGGATAAGCACTCCTGCATATGTGATGTCTAGTCCCAGGCATGTAATATGGTTACCAGTGGTTTTATACGCACAAATACACTCGCTTGCTCAAATACACACACACATACGATTTGCTTGACCATCATATTACTAATTATTCTGTTGTCTGACAGCACGAAGGTCTACCCAGCTGTGGTTGCTGCTCATCCATCCGACCCTAATCAATTCGCACTTGGACTCACCAATGGGGGAGTTGTGGTGATGGAGCCACCGGAATCAGAGGGGATGTGGGGTACCATGCCTCCAGTTGAGAATGCAGGCCCTAATGCCAGCTCCGCGGTGGTTCGGATCAACAGCCAAGGGTGATAGTGACTCATAGGTTTTCGCAGCGGGTAGGGTTTAGGCTTGGCGGACGGGTATTAGCTAACGCTGATTATTATTTTGGGGAATTCCCTTCATACACATAGAAAAGAGAAGAAGGTAAACATAGAAGAGAGAGGGTTCGTTAGGGCTGACTTTGACGCCTTGCTACACAAGTAATGAATATGGGTATGACAAGGCTTTGACGTTTGTACAGGTTTTCTTTCCTCTTTCTTTTTAATTTATGCATTTCAATATTGTTTTTATCCGTATTTATTAGAATAGGTAACTCAATTTTATTAACAAAATGGGAGCAATAGTGAAGAATTTATGTTCCTCCTACAATCAATTAACGAGCGACTTGAATTTTGAACGGAGAGCTAAAAGCTCTAGGTCATAAGCGATTAATCATATGTCGTTATCTTTCTTTTTATTTTTTATTTATTTTTGTTTATTATTTTTTAAATTGTGGGACCTACAATTGAAACATCATCATTTAATATTCATATTAACAAATTGACTAGTGGAGGTATGACATTGTAACGAATTCGTAAGTTGGTGTATGACATTGCCTCAACATTAAGGTGGTAAGTTGTTGAAGGTTGAGGGGTTTAGTACTTAAGTTCCTTTTTCTCCTCCTGCTGCGTGTTGTTATTGAGCAACTTTTAATCTATGAATGGAAGTTGTATGACAATTGTGAAGTTTATTTCGCCTCAATGTTATCCTTGCGCGTATTGAAAACATTGTATGTCAAAATCAAATTACCAACACTTTCATTATTCTAGGATTTCATAGCGATAAAATGCATATTATCTTGATACAAATATTTGATCACAACCGTATGTCCTCAACTCATCCGCAACAGTAGTAGGTCTAGTTTTCGACTGAATCGGGTCGAAAATATCATGTTTTTAATTTTGATTTAAAAAGTTTTGATTAATTTTTATTTCGGAATTTCAAAACTATTGGAAGCTTCATCTATCCCAAGCTCGAAAGTATCTCATTTATGAAGCGGGATCTTCATTTTAGCTGAAAAATGGGAAAGGCACGCTGAGAGCCGTCTGATCTCTTTTAATGAGATCGTGTGGCTGGGCTTTAACCTTTCGATCTCTTCCTCGCCTTATCATTATAGGCAAATTCGAAGAACGGGTTAAACGATTTGATTTTTATTTTTTTCCTTATAATTTTCTGGAAAAATGGGTTCAAGGAATTTGGGTTGTTGGTTTTTCCAGTTCGACATTTTCTGGAGAACGGATTTGGGTGTCCTCCTGAAGTTTTCAAATTGCACAACACCTTCTGCTGAAGTTTTCAAATTCCCATTTTGGAGAATGGGTTCAATTATTTGGGATCTTTTTTCCCAATTTCTGGGCGCGCCTCCTCAAGGACTGAAATATAGGTACCCAAAAGTAAGGAAAAAAACCCAGAAAACGAAGCTGTGAACCCATTCTAATCAGAATCAAATGAGTTTTCACCTTTGAGTTTGTAAAATAGAAAATAAAGAAAAACCAAATAGTTGAACCCTTCAAATCGGAACACAGTTGGTACTACCTCTACAATTTGAAAAGTAAAATTCGAATCCTTGAACCCATTCTACAGATTACCCCAAATCTGTTGCTTTCGTGGTTGGGTTGATTGAAACACTGGCTTTTCATCGACGAGAGTGGTCCAATCTCTTTAATCAGATCGTGCGGTTGCAATTAAACACGACTTTTTCATTTCTTTTCTCTTTCTTCGTTGCTCTGCCTCGCCAAGGACGCATGGCTAAAACAGCCCAAGTCCATTCGAACCCAAATCTTCTTCCCACTTGATCAGTTTTGGGATCTGGAGATTGGCTTCAGTTATTTGGCCTTGGGTATCTATCTGCCTACCTTGGTTCTAATTGTACCTCTCTTTTCTGGATTTTTCAGGGTTTCAACTGTATACATGTAAATTTCGTTCCATACAAATGATGCATCACAAAGCTCCACGTGACATATGACTCATCATAAATGGACAAATCATCAATGACATGTGACACAAATCAAGCAAAGGAAGCTCAAAAGCATTCCTAAAATTCGGCAAAGAAGAAGAAATCTCCTTAAAAGCAGCAAGGGGCTCAAATTGCTCCCAAAATTGGAAAGAAAGCTAAAACATCTTCACAAAACAAGTAAGAATTGAAGATTGTTCACAAAATAGGCAACAAGCCCTATAGATTTCGGACAAGCAAGAGAAAGTGGCTGAAAACAAGACACAAAACATGCCTAAATTCTCCCAAGGACGAATCAAGACACAAATCAAAGTCAAATCAATGACACGACTTTGGACCCAAGGCAAGCATAAGGGTGGACAATTTCTACATTCAAGGCCGAAATTCTCACATTGAGAAGAACCTCTGCCAAATCTTTGAAGACTGCCAAAGCTCTCTTCAAAGAATGCACAACCAAAGCTGAAACTTTCTTTCGACCAAAGCCGAAGTACTCCCTTGAAGAATTAACAAGCACCGTGCCAATTCCTTCAAGACTTTGTTGAAAGCTCAAAACTTGTAACGAAGTTTGTTTCAATATCAAGTTGCCAAGACTCTTGAATCAATGAAATCCTACATCAACACTACCTTTGCCACAACTTTGAGTTGAAGACCATCCAAGCGTTGTTTCAAGCTCGAAACTTGAAGCAATCGTTTGTCCGAGATCAAGTCATCACAACCCTTGGATCAACAACCTACGCATCTACATCAAATTCAAAGACTGAATCAGAGGAAAGTTGTAAATAGAGATTGTAACCCTACAAATTCATCAATACAAATCAACTTTGTACATGTGTTCCCGCTTCATTCATTAAAGAATTTTCGTATTTACATCTACGATTTGCTTATTTTTTTATTCAAATATCAAGGATTAAAACTTATTGAGTTCTGATTCAAATGTTATGTGTTTAGAATTTGAAGAGAAGAAAAAAAGGAACAAATTCACAACCCATATTTAGATCTAAAATTAAATTAAATTACAAATTATTACCGTACCTTCTCCATTAACTTGCAATCCAGAATCAGAACTTGAAAAATAAAATCCTACTCTCTAGAACGTCCAAAATGGTCAAGGGAGGAAACCAATACATGAATTTGCAAAGATAAAGGAAAAGATAGAAAGAGTGGGGTTTGATTGAATTTGAACCTCCGGTTTGTGGTTCGTCATTCGTGACGCAGAGAAAGGAAAGGACGGAAAGAAAGAACAAGAAATGTTATAAATGCATCTTTAAAGCCCAGCCGCACGATCTCATTAAAAGAGATCATATGGCTCTCACCGTGCCTTCCCCATTTTTCAGCAAAAATGGGGATCCCGCTTCATAAAGCACCCGTACATCTATATATCTATACACATATATATAGAGAGAGGAAATTATAGCAATGATGCTTATTCATCTGCTTCTCACGTTCCGTGAATAGCTGGGACATTGAGGAATATCCAGAAAGGCATTTAAGGAATCGGTCTGATTCTATCTTTGTTCGTTCCGTTTGGTTCTTTTCGTCAACTCCGTTAGAACTTCCGTCATAATGAGACATGTTGGAAGAATCATTTCTGCAATTGGGTCAAAGTTAGGAATCATTGCTCCAATTAGGTTAAAGTTGAGTGACCGTTTCTTCAATTTGGTTAAAGTTGAAGGACTATTCCTACAATTTTCTCATTTAGTTTTCCATATTTGCCTCTTGATTCGACCTCATGTGGGCGGTATGTGACTCATTTAGATGGAAGTTCTAACAGAGTTCACGAAAAGGACTATAGCTGCACATTTTGTTGAATTAAAGAACCAATGGTTATGGATTTTTAGTTGAGGGAGCATTGCTCCAATTAGAATTAAGTTGATGGACCACTACTACAATTTCCTCTATATATATATTCGCAGATGTAATAAACAATTGAAACATATCGGAAATCAATAAGTACATAATTAAGTGTATGTAACAGAATTAAGCAAATTTTATATTTTTTTCATATAGATGTAGATATGTAAATTTCGTTGCATGCAAATGATGCATCACAAAGCTCCACGTGGCCTATGACTCATCACAAATGGACAAGTCATCAATGACATGTGGCACAAATCAAGCAAAGGAAGCTCAAAACTTCCCCAAAATTCGGCCAAAAGGAAGAAATCTCCTTAAAATCGGCGGGGCCCAAATTGTTCCCAAAACCGGAAAGAAAGCTAAAGCATCTTCACAAAACAAGCAAGAATTAAAGATTGCTCGCAAAATAGGCAAGAAAGCCCTATAAATTTCAGCCAAGCAAGGGAAAGTGGCTGAAATTAAGACACAAAACATGCCTAAATTCTCCCATGGATGAATCAAGACACAAGTCAAAGCCAAATCCATCCAATGGCAAGCTTTGAGAAGTCTATAAATACAAGGTCCTCAGACAAGCATAAAGGTCGACAATTTCTACATTAAAGGGCCGAAATTCTCACAAAAGGAGAACCTCTGCCAAATCTTTGAAGACTAATACGTTGCCAAAGCTCTATTTGAAGAACGTACAACCAAAGCGGAAGCATTTCCTTGAAGAATCAACAAGCACTTGTGCCGATTCCTTCAAAACTTTGTTGCAAGCTTAAAACTTGTAACGACGTTCGATTTAAGATCAAGTCGCAAAGTGTTGGAAATGTGCCCTAAAACCAATCATATGATGATACTTACGGACATTTCAAACTAATGTAGTTTAAAGGGCAAACATTATTGTTTGAGCCGTCTCATATAAATGTTATATGCTTAAACGATAAGTCCAAGGAATATGTGATTGGAAGAATGCGATCTAAAGAAGTTAGATTCATGAGACCATTCTTTCGTTGACACATCCTAAACGTTCCTGATCATAGGATTGTCAATTGGGCATTGACAGTCCGTTAAGATCAGTACGTGCTATGTCTTCTCTCAGGGAGAGTGACTAGTCTCGAGTCATTGGTGTGTGTGACATCAAGACAAGTACGTAGGTGCTCAATAGAGAATGAGTTCACTGAACACGATCAACGAAGAGTTCTCATATTCATGTCACATGAGAACTCATGGTTGGGATAATGCAAATTAGTCTTTTGACCTGAGGCATCACAGTTGTCTTGTGGTTAGGTCCTTAATCTTTGATTATGTCAACGTCACTCTATCAGGGTGTCCACGGCATCGTTGGGGTTAAGCCACTTAGCCTTGGAGGCAAGTGAATGCGCAACAAGGGATCTCTAACCTTCAAACTGTTTGAGGGAGAATACTCTATGATATGATTTGGAATCTCTGGCCAGAGTATGAATG